AAGGTGAACGCAATGAACAAGCAAACTTTGAGTCACTTCGTCATTTTGCAGGTAGGTATCTCTCGGATAAGAATGGTGTGCTGTCTGCCTCAGACAATGCAAAGGAGCTCACAGGTGCTGCTTCTAAACTTGGCTGGATCCCAGATCCATCATTTCCGGGTTTTTGTCCTCATAACTCGAGTTGTGGGAGAGAGGTCAGGACATTGAAGGAGTTGGCAAGGCCGGCTCACGTTGCCGCAGGTTTCCATCGGAAGTTTTGGCCGTTGTCGGTTGGCTTCACTGCCAAAGCCAAGACATTCTTTGGCTTGTGTCCAGTTCTACGTCATGAACGAGGCACAGAGACGGCCAAGTTGAAGCAGGCCAAGACCAGGTATGAGATCGCAGTTGGACGACCATTCGCTGGGCCAAAATACCCCTTGGGAGCACTAGTATTTTACAAACGAAGGGAGACGGTATCTCTGAACCAAGTACCAGGCCAGGCATCTTTGCAGGTTGGCATGTGTCACCAGGCTTGACGTACAAGGGTCGCCTCCTAATCCTTGATTATGAAGCTCTTCGCGCTCGTTCTCCTTTGGGAACCCAATCAAATCCAAGCACAAGAGTTGTATCTTCCACCAACCGCGAGGATTGAGTTCCCATTGGCAAGGGCGTCTCGACAGGCATTCTTAGACATGTCAGACCCAGAGAAGATTGCCATACACCAACCAAGAGGATTGAGTTCCCATTGGCAAGGGCGGCTCGACAGGCATTCTTAGACATGTCAGACCCAGAGAAGGAGATTGCCAAGGAAATCTATGACAGGTCATTCACAGAAGGTGTCCTTCCAAATGACATTGGCATTGATGCAGTTCCCACAGAAGACAAACCTCCACCTCAACGCCATGCATACATCACATGGGCAAGGTTGTTGAAACATGGTTTTACAAGAGGCTGTCCAGGGTGCACTATGGGTCACAACAGAGATTTCAACGAGTGTAAGGCAAGGTTTGATGCCATCTTTTTCAGACGTGGTGAATCTGTAGGGCCGACCCCGAAGCCAGTCGCCGATGGGGAAGAGACCGACTATGAACCATCCATTGCTCCTGACCAGTTCCATCCAGTTCCCAGATGATAAGGTTCCTGAGCCTGGCGCCGTCCGCCAAGGTCAGATGATGAAGGAACTGTGCCTGCCGTTTCCGCTAGACAGCTCCCAAGATCTAAGGTTCTCTCGCGCGAAGACGCGATTGCGGCCATGAAGGAGTTTGACGGTATATAGCTGCGATGGGAACTTGGGATCTAGAGACCGTGGAGGAGGAAGAAGTAGTGAAGAAAAGAGCCATTGCCAATTGTCAGACAATTCACCTGGCAGACCTGTTGGCCATTTGCTCCGACAAGCATGTTGAATTGGAGCCACAAGGGTCACCTTGGCAAACGTGGTGAAGGCCTATCTCCAGAGCTTGCTCAACTCCCTGAAAGACATGGGTCCGCCGGATTCTTGGTCCGCCCGTTGTTTAAGCGCCCCGTCATTAGGCTGCTTCGCAGCTTATACGGGCAGCCAGAAGCAGGAGCTCACTGGGAACGCAAGCTTGAGAAAGAACTCCTTGACATGGGTGCAGTTAGAGTACCAGAATTCCCAAGCACATACACGTTTCCGTTGTATGGTCATCTTGCATTAGTGGTATATGTAGATGATTCCCTGTTAAGCGGTGACAGTGGTTTTCATGATGCTTTCTGGGCGGAACTGTTTAAGAAGATTATGATTGAGGATGTCGGTGAATTTGGACGGTTTTTGGGGAGGCACCATACCACCGTTTCACACGACGGACTGAGCGCCTCGACTTCGACATGAGGGCATATGCGAGAGACATGATCCAAGACTATGTCAACCTGACTAACACCAAGATCTTCAAGAAGGCTCACACACACACCCGCTTCTAGCTAAAGTTGCAGAACATCTTGATGATGATGAGGCAGTTGGGCAACTAGTTTCTTCTGCGAGTTCTATACTAGTGAAGCTGCTGTGGATCTCGCGCCTCGCGCGACCCGACCTGCTTAGGGCAACCACATGGCTAACACCCAAGGTACAGAAGTGGATTGGTTTTGTGATGCACATCTACGCAGGGTCATGTGTTACCTGTACCACAGCCAGGAAGACATACTCACTGGATGGATCAATGACCCACCAGAAGAGTTGTATATAGAGATGTTTGTTGACCCGGATTTTTGTGGCGATGATGAAGACTGTTACTCGACAAGTGGTGGTTGGATACAATTCTTTGGGCCATCCACACAGTTGCTTTTGGCTTGGCTGTCAAAGAAACAGAGCACTGTCGCCCAGTCAACCACTGAGGCAGAAACAGTTGCCTTGTCGTACGTTCTGTATGAGGAGGGTCTCCCAATGCTGGAGCTATGGAAGCAACTGCTGAACCGAGAGGTTCACCTACGTGTGAGGGAGGATAATGAGGCTACGGCAAAGATAGTAGTTGCTGGTTACAGCACACGCCTCCGACATCTGCACAGGACCCAGAAGATTCATGTGGCTTCACTAAGGGAACAGTTGAACCAGCCAGACATTGAATGCATGCTGGTCAATACTCTGTTTCAGAAGGCCGATGTATTCACTAAAGCTGTTGCAGGGTCACTTTGGGAGAATGCCATGCAAATTCTTAGCATCCTCAAAACATACGACGTACTTCACACTTCATCTACGGGTCTCAAGATGAGCCTAGGCCAGGCATGGCGCCCGATGTTGGGGAGGACTGTCAAGTACAGCCTTCTAAAGCGCCCGCACAAATGAAGAAATCAAAACCAAGAAACCACCGACCAAAGCGGATTCCACAATACAAATAATACAAGGAAGCATTCGAGAATGACGACAATGTGCCTTTCAAATGAGCTGTCTTGGATGTCTCCGAGTACTGAGGTGACTTTTGATCCGGTGTCATACGAGAGGGGGGAGAAGAAATTATTCCAATGGACCCCTACTCGTAATATGCATGTTCATATCACATGGTGGTACCAAACGGATCCCACTATATTGTTGTTGCCTACGACTGTAAAGTGTACATTATGTCATGGCTTTTTCAACATGAAATCGCCTATCCAATATGTTATCTAGAATGATAACTTGTTCCATACTCCTGGAATCCCGGGTAAGGCCATAAACCTATACTTGGCCAACAATGTTTGGCTCAAGTTGGCCGCTAAAAGGTGTTCTTAGCTTCCTTCTTTTCCGGCTGTTCATCTTATCACTCCACCAGCTGTTAAGTCAGTTACCATCACATACAACTGGTACAATTCTTGCGACCACTGAATTGTTCCTATTTTATCTCTAATGTAGCAAATCCAGCTCCAGTTTGGGGAGTGCTCTTGCCAACCACATGTCTCTTTGCCTGCATTCACATCCGTTGGCTAAACGGCAGGGTACTTCCAGTCCCAACAGGTGAACATCATCAACTTTAAGTGGGACAGAAGGTTGACACATTCAAGTGTATTATGGGTGCCATGGCAAGCGATCTAGGCATACGGAGTTCAAAATTTACTTCAGGCATTTTCAGGGCCAAACTCATATTACCAGTGTCAAAAGAATGCGAAACCTCTAGAAAGGGAAGAAAGAGACAAAGGAACAAAGGAACAACGGAGGAAAGGAAAGCAGCGAAGGAAGGAAGGATGAAAGGAGGGAAGAAAGGAGGGAAGAAAGGAGGGAGGGAATCAGGAAGGAGAGAAGAGAGGAAGGAACGAAGGAAGGAAGGAAGGAAGGAAGAAATGCAGGAAGTAATGACTATGCCCAAATGAAGGGCTCGAGCTCCAGAATGCCGCATGTACCATGAAAGGTTCAGAAGTCAAAATGTTGCACAAACCATCCAGAATGACAGGAAGGAAGGAAACAGGGTGACGAGGGTGAGGAAGGAAGGAAGGAAGGAAGGAAGGAAGGAAGGAAAACCAGACCAGACAAACTGAACAGTTTAAACTTCAAATTGGAAAAACTGGACAGAGAGCATGCACATGAGAAGTTAGAGTTGCAGAGGGTTCCCAAAACGCAATGCCATGCGAGATGTGAGCGCGTATCTTCAGAAGTCTATCACGGATTTAACTTTCATAACTCTAAAATGCTATGCAAATACCTGCTTCCGGCCTACCCCCCAAACCCCTTCCATCAGTTTTGACCGTTCAACCCCTACACCATCCACAGCCATCAGCAACCTGTAGCAGCACCGCGACATGAAGAGTTTGAGCCTCAAAATGTTCCACAAATACCTGCTTCCAACTTCCAACAACCAACTTACAGAACAGGAGTAAAGTAATTTGGCACCAGCAAGATGTAGCTGAACACCATGGAGGGAGGATAGGGGGAGGTTCAGCAGAAGTGTTCGCAGATCCAACAGGCGGGTAGGCACCGGAAAAAGAAAACAAGCGCGTATCTGCAAAGAAAACACGTGCAGGTCTGACAGAGGGCGCAGGCCTTATAAAATAACAGTGACGACAACAAAAAAGGCTACCCATAAGCATCCGCAACACCATGGGTTTGGTAAAACCAAGGAATGCTCCTTTTCATATTCTCTTTGTGTTCATAGTTTCCTACTTAATCCCTTTGGAACGTGGTTTTTGATATCCTATATAATATTTTGTTTGTGTCCCTTACCCGAGGGAATATATATCTTTTTGAGAAAAGTTCAGCCAATGCCCAATCACCTCCTGCCATGATGCTGGGTCAAAAGAAAATAAGAGTGACAATGACTGCACCGTTCCGAAAGGCTGCTAGGATCTTTAGTCATTTCGATGGGCAAATTATAATTTCTGTACGTTAGTATGTTGATACATGGCATCTCTCTCTCTCTCTCTATACATGCATACGCATAAGTAACACATACGTAACACATACGTATATATATATATATTTATATGTCTGGTGGCACAATGTTGTAGATTACAGGTTGGCATATGGATGTAAAATGGATGTAAATGATGGTTGCTAATCTTGATCGGCCTTCCCTTCTTTATCTTCCGCCGAGCCGGGAAAGGTGACCTTCGCTGGGTGCCTTGGCAGCGACTTCCAAAGTCTTGGAACATCTTGGAATCGGATCATTCCTGCCCTTGTGCTACAAAACATATGGTGTATATATAGCATTTAATTTACATACGATATTTATATATATATATACTCACATAATCCCCCTTGGAATTTCCTCTCGGAAATGGCGGGCCTGGGCCCCGCCATTTCCTAGAGATTTGGATTTTATGGGTGTCCCATCTTTGACCAAATGCATTCTTTAGAGGAATATTGTTCGCTATTTGACCTCATCTGGTGGAAGTGCGGGGTTCCATTTTTTAGAGTTCCGGGTTATGATCTGGGATCAACTCTAAATTTACAATTTCCCATTCTTATATATATTTATTTATTTATACTTACATAATTTTTATAAATACACACCTTTGCATTAGTGCCTTGAACAACGTTGCTGTTTTCCGAGGAACTGGCCCACCAGAGCTGAACGTGTTTTGCACGTGAACCAGGCACCAGCCGCTCCGAATGCGGTCGAGGTGGTATGGATTGGTGGAAGGGAAAATCAACAGCACAATGGTGGGTTCTTACCTTCAAATATGAGCGTAGACAGATTTACCCAAGAAAATAAATCTAATCGAAGGAAGTTTAGAAGTCAAACTTCCGACAATATGGACTGATGAAAAGCAGAGCAGGGCAGAGGCAGAGAGAAGAGAAAGATTAGAAGAGAGAAGATCAGAGAAGAGAAAGAATCAGAAGAAAGAAGATGCAGATGCGCGAAAAGGTAGGAAAGTCGCGAAACACTGTGTTTTTTCCAATGATTTGTGGCTCCGGAGGGTCGAAAAGTAGGTTCGCTAAAGCGGCGGGTGCGGAGCCAGCTGGGCCAGATGAGAGATGAAAAATTGCACGCCCTTGTGGCGCGAAGCACATTTCGAAGTCAAAATGTGCAAAACACCATTCTCGGACCACTTTTGGAAGTTGAGATGTCGAAAAATTGCGCGCAGGATCTGCAAAGATGCATTTCGCGTGGCCGGCGCAGTACAAGAGACATGTTCATCAGAGGTGTCAGGAAGTCAGGCGCTGATTTCCTCAGAGGGGTTCCATTTTGGAACCTCAGATCTTCAGGTTTGCTGAGATGATTTTGCGTGACAGGTGCAGCACTTCGTATGACCTGGCATTAATTTTTCGTGCTTCAGACAGGTGGACTGGAAAAATCGCAAAACGCATTGGTACGAGGCCGTCAGCTCTGCACTCAACTTTCCATTTTTGAAGGAAGTCTCGCAGAATTCTTTTGCTTTTGATGTCGTCAACTTCGAAAAATGAGGAAGTCCGGCAGGATTGCTTTGTTTTTGATGTTGTCAAGTTCAAAAATTGAGGAAGTCTCGCAGAATTTCTACGTTTTTGATGTTGTCAAGTTCAAAAACTGAGGAAGTCTCGCAGAATAGCTTCGTTTTCAAACTTGCAGATAGACAGACAGACAGACAGACAGACAGATAGATAGATAGATAGATACATAGATACATGGCTAGACAGATAGGTAGATAGATAGATAGATAGATGGATGGATAGATAGATAGATAGATACATGGCTAGACAGATAGATCGATAGATAGATAGATAGATACATGGCTAGACAGATAGATCGATAGATAGATCGATAGATACATACATGGCTAGACAGATAGATCAATAGATAGATAGATAGATAGATAGATAGATAGATAGATAGACAGATAGACGGATAGATACATAGACATATAGACATATAGACAGATAGTTAGATACCAAGATAGAAAGATTAATAGATAGATAGATACATAGGCAGATAGATTGACAGATAGACAGATAGACAGGTACATAGAGAGACAGTTTGATCGATAGATAGACGGAAAGATAGAGAAATAGATAAAAGAGAGGGAGAGAGAGATAGACAGACAGACAGACAGACAGACAGATAGATAGGTAGGTAGGTAGGTAGACAGATAGTTAGATAGATAGAGAGATAGACAGATAGACTGATAGACAGATAAATAGATAGATAGATGGATAGGTAGATAGATAGATAGATAGATACATAGATCCATAGATACATAGACAGATAGATCGATAGATAGATTGATAGATAGATAGGTAGAAAGAAAGATAGATAGATGGATAGATAAATAGATAGGTAGACGGATTGATAGATAAATAGATAGATAGATAGATCGGGAGATAGATAGACAGACAGACAGACAGACAGACAGATAGATAGATAGATAGATAGATAAACAGATAGATCAGTAGGTAGGTAGGTAGGTAGATAATCAGAGAAAGATGGAGAAACAGCGAGAAAAAGAGAGAAAGAGAGAGAGAGAGAGAGATCAAGCACCTTTCAGTCCATCAGTGGCTTCGCTCTGCCATCCCTGATTCACAACAACCAACCTCTCCTATAGGTTTCCTATTTTTGAAACTTCCGCCACCGCCTTGTGCGATACTACTGGTACATGATCACCTCATATTACCCCACTTTTGACCTTGTAATATTGGGGGTAGGGTAAGCAAATTCTGGGTTTTTTTCACATGACCAAGTGAACACAACAAGATGCAGCCCACGAACCCGAATGCTCACACGTATGTTCATGGTACAGATGTTGAAACACATGGATATGCAGTCACGTAGAACACTTTTGAAACAGTTTGTTTGAACAGTCTTGTACATTTTCTCTTGTTACCATACTATATAGTGCACCGTAGACTATGGAATATGGAAGAAAGTGGCGTGCTAATTGTGGAGTGTGGAGTGTACAGTGTAAAGTGTCGAGTGTAAAGTGTAGAGTGCATATACAGTGTAAAGAGTGGGAGTGTAAAGTGTAGAGTGTGGAGTGTAAAGTATAGAGTGTGAAGTGCAGAGTGTAAAGTGTAGAGTGTGGAGTGGAAAGTGTCGAGTGTGGAGTGTAAAGTGTAGAGTGTGTGAAGTGTAAAGTGTAAAGTGTAGAGTGTGGGGTAAAAAGTGTGGAGTGTAGGGTGTGGAGTGTGGAGTGCAAAGCGTAGAGTGTCAGTGTGGAGTGTAAAGTGTGGAGTGTAAAGTGTGGAGTGTAAAGTGTAGAGTGTAAAGTGTGAAATGTAAAGTGTGGAGAGTGAAGTGTGAAGGGTGGAGTGTAGAGTGTGGAGTGTAGAGCACGCAATGCAACACGTTTGAAGTGCTGCGCGTGCCACGCAAAATGACGACAGAGATCTCCAAAATTTTTCGCTTGCCATGAAAACTGCAACTCATCTTGTGAAAACGACGCAATAGTAATGCGCCTGCCACAAAACATGATTTTCGACACGTTATCAAACAGGAAACAGGTTGGAATGTCACAAAGTGCCGCGCCTGCCACGCAAAACGACATGACAACCTGCTTGGAAACCTTCGAAAAGGATAGGTTTTGCAGCTTCCCTCATAGACACGACGGCGCCACCGGAAAACCAGAGACTCGAGACGAGACGCGTGGGAGGATCAAACCGAGCATTTCGTGCGAAACTTCCTCCAATTTTCACACTTTGTAGCTTCAAAATCGATGTTTCGTGCGAGGCTTCCGTCAATTTTCATCACATCTCACAAATTGCCACGCCTGCCACACAGAATTTGCACGTTATCGCCACTTGACGCAGCCCTGACAAAGCGATTCGCAAAAACACACAACACAATACACGTCTAAAGCGCTGCGCCTGCCACGCAAAATGACAATGGACACCTCCAAAGTGCTGCGCCTGCCACGACTCTCGACACATTGCGAAACACGTCTGAATGTCACGAAGTGCCACGCCTGCTCCGCGAAACGAAGCAACGCGACATGCGACGGTCGCGGACGGTTGCGGACGGTTGGGCAACGTCGAGCGAACACACCCTCAACCCCCAGACTTCCAGAGTGACGTGAAACGGGAACCCTCGCTACAGTACGCATTCGGGAAAACACTCCCCCCCACGTCTTTTTTGGGCAACCACAAGGTGTGGGAGGTCCTCCCCAATGCCACCTGGTCTTTGAAGACTTGCCACACCTTGATCCTCAGAAGTGGAACTTCGCTGCTGGAATGGAAATTCTACCGGGAGCATTCATTTTGCACCTCCCCTCACTCAGATATTGCAAACTAACAACAGTGAGCGCCCTAGACGTAAAATACCAAGGCTTTGCACCTGCCCCCAACCAGAAAATTGGAAACCAGGAGGGGTGGACATTTATAGCTCCTTCTTATAGTGGAAATGTACGATTCAGCCTTTGCTTTCCCAGATGCTGATGTTGGAAAATGATTGAACTGACGCTCCTCATTGCTCTCTTGGCGTTTGGCCGCCATGAATGCCTGGTGATTTGGGGATATCTCGCACCCACCGTATTGCCAGAGATAGTTTAAGCATGCTCAAGCAAAAATTGGAACGGGACCCGGACCTCCCTATTTGTATCGGCAAGAGACCATGGTGTTGATATCTGTCGATTCGTTTTTCCCTTGAACCAATAACCAGTCCATTACAATGTGGGGAAATCACCGTCCCTGCGGCCGCGAGGTCTTCTCTGTTTTCTTTGTCTTCTATGTGACTGTCGTCACTTGCAAACGACAATGAGCAGCTGTGGGACCGGCCATGTCGCTAAGGATCACTTGCTAAATGAACACATGTGTGTGCGGATAATGTGTTGAGAATGCACTAATGTCCTGTTTCCAGGGTACTCACAATTTTTGGTGATGAAGGTAGACGCATGCATACATACGATATGTACTGTATCCCCCTCTAGATATATATCCCTTATAAAATGTATCACCCCAGGGTCCGTGAAAAGACTCGTTTTTTCACCAGTTTTTCAGACCCCAAAAAATTATAAAATTGCAAAACACAGAATTTGCTACCAAGGTTCGATCTGTCATTTTATAAGCCATAATATGTTTTGGGTGTTATAAAATGACTAACATGGGAACTGGGAACTTGCCCAACACAAAGGCCGGGGTCCGGATTCAACTTCAACATATAAAAAAAAATGATATATTTGTTTTTGCTATATTTTTGCGTTGTAAAATCATGGTTCACTTTTATTGATTATCCATTATTTAAGGTGCACTTACTTTGCAATATAAACATTTTCTATTGAAAATTACCGGTTTTACCAGCAAAAACTGAGAAAAACATACCCGGAGAAATTGGGTTTGCCCAGTTTTTGTTCTTATAGAATGTCCTGATTTTTCTTATTAAATGGCTATCTTCTCTGGTGACACCACAATTGAGAGAATTTTCCACCTATCGAAGTCCCGCCTTATAAAAATGACAGCCAGCCAGCCCATTGTCCTTTCACAACTTTGGAAAGGCAGGACGCTATAAGTTGTTTTTCGCTTTATTTCTGACATTGGATTTGTCATTTTATAACTTGTTATTTTATGCCAATTGATGCTGCCATATATTGTTTGCATCGTTGAATGCCATTTTGTAAATCAGTTCACCTGGATTTGTCATTTTATAGCCCAAAAACACGTCCCCTTTTATAAACCAAACGGACCCCGGGCCCGGACATTAATCAAGAGGGGGATTGTTACTGTATATGTGTACAATATGCGCAGGTTGCACTGTTGATACATTTTGATACGACCTCATGAAACGACTCTGGGAAAAGATGTAGCACACAAACGACGGACCCACATCCAGTACCCCTCGATGTCCCAAGGGCCAGTCATTTCACGAAGGCAGCATCAGTTACATAAGTTCTTCTCCATGCTTGGAATCTCAAATGTTTTCCATTTTAGATCGTTACCCAAATTAGTGTGCGTTAGAAGTGCGGTCCATTGTATATATCTTCACTTGGGGAGATGTGAAGAGATCGCCGAGGGTGCCTGATCAGATTCTCCACATAGAGCACCCCAAGGTCCCATTGTTAGTCAGCTTCTTCAATAGACCCCATCTCTATGCTTCTTGGAACAGGTTCATCCATTGCTGATGGCACCCGATCTACCGTTTCTGGGTAAGCCACTCACAAACCCACTTGTCATGATAATTTAGATTGGCCAACATGTGCAGCTGGTTGATGACGGTAGGCGGTTGCACAATCCAAGATCTCGGGATATATGGGGTATGATAGTAATCCATGAACTGGAATCCCTAGCAACCAAAACTTTTGTTGAAGGGGTCCAATTGGTGTTGGTTCAATTATGTTGAACTACTCTGGCGCCGTACTGCTGCAGCAAGGCGGCATTGAGCCATTTTGTTTTATCCCAGGTGGTGTTCGCAGTTCTGCGTGTCATCACGGCGATATTCTTGTGGCTAAGCTTGCAACATGGATGGCCAACAACCGACACTAAAAGTTGGTTTGCAACAAGAATGCAAAAACTCGCGGACAACTAATTGATCTTTTCGCCATTTTCGCCAACACGATATTAGCTAACACAATAAGGCTTTGAAACCGTATGAAAAGGAATATCAAGCCAACAAAAGGTGGATTGGACATGAGATTCTGTCTCGCTGACTTGACTAATCTTGACTGAAGTGTTTGCTGACTGACGGCTGGCGCAGGATTGATTTCACAATTTCACAACGGTTGCGAAAATCCACATGGCTTGTCGAGAGATCATGGTTTCCATCAGAGTATTGGTGTTGGTGACTGGCTACTTACATGTTGTTCCTTCCAGAGATGTAACATAGCCGCTCCAGCCATGAAGCAAGCGAAACTGCAAGATGGTCAAATATGTATGGACTTCTTGGCCCCAACCCGAAGGCTGCACCATGGAGCAAGAAACCATACCGCCGTTAGGGTTTACATTGGTGATCAGGTTGCTTGGTTCATACCACCGTTAGGATTACATTAAGGATCAAACCTCCTTTCCCCACGGAACAAAACATGTAACCATACTGCTTTTAGGGCCCTGGATAAAGGATCAACATCTTGAACCTTGGTGGAACAATCAACCATACCAGATTCTTCAGAGGCATTGTTGGATCACTTACTGCTGGACATTCAGATTCTTCAGAAATTGAAAAAAGGGCCCGCACATCTAAAACTTGTTGCATCATGCAATATTGACTTGTCTTCGTATCTGATATCCTTAAACTCTAGGGTGAACAGTTTCTTCTATCAAATGCAGAGCAACGTGGACTTGTTTTACCTTGTTTTTGTATTTTTTCATTCCCCACCTGCCAGGTGAGGGTTGTTCCCCACCTGCCAGGTGAGGGTTGTTAGATTTTATCAGAGTTGTTCTCCTCGGCTAGCTGTCCTCCTCGTCCTCGTCCTCCTCCTCCTCGTCCTCCGCCTTCTCCTCCTCCTCTGCCTCCTCCTCCAGTTTCTCCTCGACCATGTCTGCATCAACTTCCACCTCAACTTCCGCCTTGCCAACTCTTCGCCAAGCTCTTTGCCAACTTCCCAGCTCAGTGTGCACCGCTGGACCTCAACCTGCGACCTGCCCAGCTCAGTGTGCACCACTGTGCCTCAACCTGGGACCTGCCCAGCTCAGTGTGCACCGCTGGACCTCAACCTGGGACCTTCCCAACTCAGTGTGCACCGCTGGACCTCAACCTGGGACCTTCCCAGCTCAGTGTGCACCGCTGGACCTCAACCTGGGACCTGCCCAGCACCGCTGGACCTCAACGGCCAGATAGAATGCCAGAAGATATGCCAGATAGAAAGCTATAAGATATGCCAGATAGAATGCCAGAAGATATGCCAGATAGAATGCCACAAGATATGCCAGATAGAATGCCAGATAAAATGTCAGATAGAATGCCAGAAGATATGCCAGATAAAGTGCCAGAATGTTTGCCAGATAGAATGCCAGATAGATTTGCCAGATAGAATGCCAGATAGATTCGCCAGATAATATGCCAGAAGATGTGCCAGATAGAATGCCAGATAGAATGCCGGAAGATATGCCAGAACATATGCCAGAAGATATGCCAGGTAGAATGCCAGAACATGTGCCAGAAGATATGCCAGGTAGAATGCCAGAACATATGCCAGATAGAATGCCAGCAGGTATGCCAGATAAAGTGCCAGAATGTTTGCCAGATAGAATGCCAGAAGGTATGCCAGATAGAATGCCAGAAGATATGCCAGATAGAATGCCAGATAGAATGTCAGAAGATATGCCAGAAGATATGCCAGATAGAGTGCCAGAAGATATGCCAGAACATATTGCAGAAGATATGCCAGGTAGAATGCCAGAAGATATGTCAGATAGAATGCTAGAAGATATGCCAGATAAAATGCCAGAAGATATGTCAGATAGAATGCCAGAAGATTTGCCAGTAACAAAACGTATAAATGTCATGGTGGGGATAACTCGAAGTAAAGTATTTTTTCAGGACAGGAACTATAGTATCTAGATGTTGCTAGGATTTGCTAGGGCTTGGAGCACACCACAGGAAAGATACATTGGACGCAGCGCAAAATGATGCGGAGCAGCAAGTCATGGACAAGATGGCTTTAAGAGCAAAGCTGATTGAGCGATTGGAGCCTTGTCAGCGAGGAAGTTGGAATAGAATTCTGGCACCATCGGAATGTAGCAGATCACAGGTGATGGCGGACACTAGCAGGTTTCCTAAAAAGAGCAGGGTTTCAGTATCTAAGCCCTTCACCCTGCGTTGTGCGTTTCTGCTAGTGTCCCACGATGAGCCACGGCTTCTCAGGAGGCGATGTTCAAAGTCTTGGATGAGACTGGCAGTGGCATCATCACTGAAGAGAGGCACCTGCACCTGACTCCTGTAGAGCCAATGGGAAGGGCAGTGGAGCTCCATGTGATGACTTCATCGAAATCACAGCTGCGCTTGACATATTTTGCGCTTCGTGTGCAGAAGGTAGGCTGATTGCAATCCCACCGCTGCAGGTTGCAAGCAATCTTGGCCAACCCCAAAGCGGCGGCGTACTTCGCAACGTTGGATTTGGATGTCCATGAAGGACTCACACTACCCACAGTCCTCGCTTCTTCCCAGCGTAATTGGTCTCGCATGGCTAGCCAAATCACGCCTTGTATGCTGCCAGTCTCAAACTTACAATGGGGAAGAAAAACCGACCACAGCAATAGCAATAGCAAGAGCAAAAGCAAGACCAAGAACAAGAACACCGACGCCAACGCCAACAACAGCAACGACAAGGCCAACAACAACACCACCAACACCACCAACACCACCAACACCAACAACACCACCCACACCACCAACACCACCAACACCACCAACACCACCAACACCAACAACACACCGCCGCCGGTCCCGCGCGCCACCCAGCCGCCACGGCCGCCACCTCGGCCACCCCACCACCCCCACCACCACCACCACTCATCACCACTCGCCACCATCGCCTCCATCGCCTTCCTCCACCACACCACCACCTCCACCTTACCCACCACACCATTCACCGCACCACCACCATCACCATCACCATCACCACCACCACCACCAACATAATACAGACAACAAGAAAACCAGAAGAAAAATAAGAAGGATATCAATATAACAACCATTCCAACACTAACGCCAACTAGCCAACAACACCGACAACCCCACAACACCACACCAACCACCAACACCACCCAACAACACCAACAACACCAAACCAACAACACACAACACCCAACAACACCAACACCACCATCAACAACCAACCCACCAAACACAACCCACCACCATCACCACCACCACCACCACAACCACCACCACCACCACCACCAACAGCAACAACACCACCACCACCACCACCACCAACAACAACAACAACACCAACGCCAACACCAACACCAACAACAACAACAACAACAACAACAACAACAACAACAACAACAACAACAACAACAACAACAACAACATCAACAGCAACAGCAACAGCAACAGCAACAGCAACAGCAACAGCAACACCAACAGCAACAGCAACAGCAACAGCAACAGCAACAGCAACAGCACCAGCACCAGCACCAGCACCAGCACCAGCACCAGCACCAGCACCAGCACCAGCACCAGCAACAACACCAGCAACAACAACAACAAGAAGAACAATAACATCAACAACAACAACAACAATAATAACGAGATGAACAATAAGAATAACAACAACAGCAACAGCAAACACAATCAAAATCACAACGGCAACCAGAACAACATCAACACCAGCACCACCGCCACCACAACCACCACCACAGCCACCACCACCAGCAACAACTGCACCACCACCAGCAACAACAGCAACAACTGCAGCAACTGCAACAACAGCGACAACCACGACAACCAGGACAGCCGGGACAACCACGACAACCACGACAGCTGCAGCAGCAGCAGCAACCACAGCAACCACAGCAACCACAGCAACCACAGCAACCACAGCAACCACAGCAACAGCAACAACAACATCATCAACAACAACAACTGCAACAACTTCCCCAACAACCGCAACAGCTAAACCACCACCATTAACAACCGCAACAACCGCAACAATCGCAACAACCGCAACAACCGCAACAACCGCAACAACCGCAACAACGCAACAACCGCAGCGGCAATCGCAACAGCAACCACGACGACCACAACAACCCCAACAACCGCAACGACTACAACAACCACTACCACCACCAGGACCACAACGACTGCAGCAACAGCAGCTACGGCAACAACAACAAGAACAGGAAGAAAATGAAGAATAGGAAGAACTTGCGCCCGCACACTGAGATGCTACTGCAGATAGTGGCTGGGTTGGCGCAATATTTTCAGCAATGCTCATTCGGTATAGGGCTAGCGGTGGTAAGCTGAAGGCAGTAGCAACTCTGCAAGATAGGTGTGTGAAAAAAGTGTAGGTATTGGCGCTTGCAGCTTGTGCAAACAAAACAGAACAATCAGGAAGCTGGTAACTATGAGAGGCTGACAAAGACAAGGAGGGTACAGAAACTACACATGGATATGTATTGTAGAGATGCTTCACATGCAGGCAGGAGGCAGTTTCAGAGATGGGTAAGAAATGATAAAGAGCTGTCAACCACCCCACCGACAGAACAGCAACCTGCAACCAACTTGTGTTTGACCAAGTGGTTGTTCCAGCGCGGGCTAGAACAACACAAGGGTATCCAATGATTGTTGGACCAAAACGGCGAGATGAAACTGTTTGTTGGTTGTCCTCCTCGTCGTTGCCGTCTGTGGTGGTGTTAAGATTTGATTTGCCCTTGCTCATGCTGTTTAGGATGGTGTTGTTGCTGCTGCTTTTGCTGTTGCCACTGTTGGTGTTGTTTGTTATTGCTGGTGGTGTTGGTGTTGGTGGCGTTGGTGTTGTTGATGTTGTTGGTGTTGTTGGTGCTTTTGGTGCTTTTTTGGTGCTATTGGTGTTGGTGGCGTTGTTGGTGTTGCTGCTGGTGGTCGGGTGGTGTTGGTGTGTGTTGCTGTTGGTGTTGCGCTGGTGCTGGTGGTGTTGGTGGTGTTGGTGTGGCTGTTACTGTTGTTGCTGATGTTGCTGTTACTGTTGCTCTCTCTGTTCCTGTTGCTCTACCAGTGCCCGTTGCACGACAGCTCCGCCAGGAAAAGCCCTATTTCATTTGTTAGACAATGGGGACGGAGAGGCTGGCATTTTGCACAGGGGCAACGCGCTTCCATTTGCTGCATGGCAAAGGTTTTTGCTAGTCAAAACAAGGAGCATGCAACCAACCACAAGCTAAAAATATCATGACGTCTACAGTGCACGCTCGCAACGCAGGTGACGCAAGAGGAATTCATCAGTGGCATCATGAGATGCAAGGGAGAAGCTCGAGCAATCGAACAAGTCGCGATGCACTCGGTGACTTGCTTAGAATCAATCATCTTCAAATGATTCAAATATGAAATGCAAAAGGACAAACTGTAGCGTCACATGACTCTGCAGAATTTTGATTCCCACCACTTGTCCGTGAAACATCGCGCTGCAACTGGAGGGAAATGCGGGACTGATTAAGTTGATCATGGAAGATGGAAGCTGATGCCAAGAAATTGCCCCGCACGGATCCGTGAATTCATGCGCCGCGTGCCAGAGGAACTGCGAATTCTGGATCGGAAAGTCACCAAGCTCATCCATTTCGTGCTGAGAAGCTCCGGCGGGAAGAATGTTGAAATCCTTTGTTGTACATTGATATGATTCGGGTTAGCCCCCCGCCCAGCAACAGTTCCAAAATGGTTTTGTATTTAAAAACCAATGCAAAAAAAAACAGAAGTGAAGTCACGAAATGGTCGGCATAAACGGCTGCTGTGGTCAATTTTTGTTTCTTTCGCCAATCTTGTGCCAACTACAAAATCACGGGGGAGGGGTTTTAAAAAAAAAATCCGGACCAAGAAATTTTTTTTCCGGATCAAGAATTTTTTTCCGCATCAAAAAAAAAATCGGTTTAAAAACAATAGCAACTAGTAGGAGAGAAGGAAGGGAAAAGGAAAGAAAAGGAAAGGAAGGGAAGGGGAGGAAGGAAGGAAGGAAGGAAGGAAGGCAGGAAGGAAGGAAGGAAGGAAGGGAAGCAAGGAAGGAATGAAGGAAGGAAGGAAGATCTATCTGTATCTATCTTTTTCTATCTAAATCTATTTATATCTATCTATATCTATCTGTATCTATCTATATCTATCTATATCTATCTATATCCATCTATATCCATATATCTATCTACATCTATCTATATCTACGTATCTATATCTATCTATGTCTATCTATATCTGTATCTATATCTACATCTATGGCTGTATCTATATATCTATATATCTATATATATCATATATCTATATAATATCGGTTATATCTATTAATTATTTATTATATGATAAAGTCTATATCTCTAGAATATTATCGATGCTATATTATCTACCATATTACGGTCTATCCTATCCTATCTGTCATCTATATCTACCTATCTACCTATCTGTCTATCTATCTATCTATCTATCTATCTATCTATCTAATCTATCTAATCTATCTAATCTATCTAATCTATCTAATCTATCTAATCTATCTATCTATCTATCTATCTGTTTGTCTGTCTACCTAATCTATCTATCTATCTATCTATCTATCTATCTATCTATCTATATCTCTTTATATATCTTTATATATATATATCTATATATATCTCTATATATCTATATCAATATCTCTATATCTATCTCTCTCTATATATATATATATTTATACCACCATATATCTATATATCTGTATATATCTACCTATATTTCTATATATGTATATATACATATATCTTTATATCTATATATCTTTAAATCTATGTATCTATTTATCTAGATATCTATATATCCATATATATCTGTATATATATATATATATATCTAAAAGGTTTGCATTATCATCTTTAACCAAACCTTATATAAATAGATCTTAAACCAACTCGATGATAACATCAAATGAAACTATTGTGCATCGTTGTGCCTTAGCCTACATTCCACATGTTTCCAAGGTGCATGTCGTGTAGTATATACACCTTGAGTATCACATTCAACCTAGCACCTTGCATGTGAAAATAGGTGTTTCCAATCCGCTTTGGGGGGGAGGCGCTGCGCCCTCCCCCCCAATCCCCCCCTCCCGTTTTTTTTCTTTAAATTCAAGCTTGCACACATTTCAATACACTAGTTTGGTTAGACATATATATATATATACATTGTATATATAATTTTATATATATATATTGTATATATATATATATATATATTGTATATATATATATTGTATATATATATATGGTTGTTTTTATACACAGCTTTCATCCCAAAATAAACTGTAAATAATCATGTGCATGCATATGCGTCCACATAAGTATAGTTATTTGTATGTACATGTTGTATCCCTAAATAACCCTTAATCCAACCCCAAACAAACCCTAAACAGACCCTAAACCAGCCCGAAAGAAACCTTAAAACCAACCCTAAATAGACTTTAAACAAATCTAGAATAAACCATAAAGCAACCCTAAATAAACCCTAAAACCAAACCCTGCAGATATATTAATTACACTTGTAAATACATTGATCTACATATGCATATAGTCATGATTAGTTATGCATGTATACCTCTATACATTTACAGTTTATAGTTTGCACATCATGTATCTCCAAAAATCAATGAACACTTCGGAAAAAAAACAATGAAAACAATGTAAAAATCAATGAAAACTTTGGAACAATGAATGAAAACCAGTAAAACATGAATGAACACCATACAAAAATTGAAGAAAAACATAGAAAATTCCATTGACAAATGGAAGAAAACCACGGAACAATCGAAGAAGACCATAGAGCAATTGAAGAAAACCATGGAAAAATTGAAGAATACTATGGCAAAATTAACGAAAACCATGGAAAATCCATGAACATCTTGGAAAATTCCATGAAAATCATGGAAAAATCAATGAAAACCATGGAAAACTCGATAAGCACCATGGAAAAATTCATGAAACCACTGGAAAAATAGATGAACAGTGCGAATGAGAGATTTTAGCTACAAAATGCAGCAAATGAGAGATTTTAGGTGCAAAAAGCAAGGAAGGGAGCCTGGACGACCAAAAAAAAAATTGCCCAAAAAAATAAAAAATTGCCAACTTAATTTCGCGCCCGAAAAAAAGGAAGGAAGGAACAAAGGAAAGAAGGAAGGAAGGAGGGAGGGAAAGAGGAACGAAGGAAGGAAAAAGGGAAAAGGGAAAAAAAAAACTGAATAATTTTTTTTTGATGCTTTCGAGCAGCTTGATCTCCCCTAGCCTCGGGGGATCAAGAAAAAATATTTCCAGATCAAAAAAAAATTAAACCTAACCTACCACTAAATTTAGATGAAATAGGCAATAATTTTTTTAGATCCTAGTGTTCTAATTGTTTTTTGATCTGGAAAAATTTTTTCTGATCCTCCACTCCAAAATCACCCCGTGCCACACCACCTCTCCACTCCAGATCAACTCTTCCACACATACATCCACCTCCAGCCCTCCTCTCTTGGCGCCAGCTACGAACACAATTTTGAAAAAAAACGCCCGATGAGCACAACTTTTGCAACAGATGAACACAATTTTTGCACCCTCTTGAGCAGAGTTTTGCCCCAACAAAACACACAAGAGAAACACATTTTTTTAAGCTAACCTTAAGTCATTTTCCCTCTCGACCCAGCTAGAGCACCATTTTGAAGAAAAAACGTACCAGATGAGCACAGATTTTGCACCAGCTAGGTGCACAATTTTGAAGAAAAATAACACCAGATGAGCACAACATTTGCACCAGCTAGGAGCACCGTTCGGAAGAAAAAACACCAGATGAACAGACTTATGATCGTGGGGTTGTATGATCCGCTGATCCGCTGGACCGCCGTAGGGTCCAGGCACCAGCTAGGGTCCAGGCACCAAAGCAAACCCAGTATCTTACAGCATGTTGTAGTGTATCTTCCTATAGTTGTGTCACAGCACCATCTTTAAACAACCTTCTTTAGGTGTGTAAGGCAGCTCAAAGATGTAGAGGGGAAGCTTGTCAGTACCTTCAGTCTTGGGCATGTTCATGTGGAACCAAACCAGCTGGTGCTATTTTGATGCCCTTTGCTGGTGCCAAATGTTAGTGCAAAAAGGTATCCCAAGATATGATATATATATATATATACGTCGCCTGGGCAAGCGGTTGCGTGCAAATATGGGCGACGTGAAGTTGATAGTTCTTTTGGATTGCAAGATTGCAAGGCAAGGAACCATATGAGAACCAAACGCAAGACTTGTGTTTTGTTCGGGCCGCAGTTTGAAAGGATCACATCCGCTTTGGTTATTTGCATTTTGTCACTCCCGGCTTTTCTTGGCCATATATGATGGACGCACCATTGTTCTCTCCTAAATATCACCGTGTTTTTTGCTTGCACCCCGGATCAGACTTTTCTGGCTGTGCCCAGTTTCTATTGTTTGTTTCCGCGTTGGGGTTGGCAAAAGAACCCCATTGCTGTTGATTATTGAATTGGCGGCTACGCTTTCCCAACTCTGCTGCTTAGATCATCATTGAATCTCATTGTTTGTGGGCCGGCTGTTTCAGCAACTGTGCTCATGTTTCAAAATTTTTCAGACAATGATTAGACCGACTACGTAATATTTTTTGGCCGCTAATTTTGCTTCAATTTGCGCTGTTCGTTTCTCCATATGCACAAAACTGTTTTTTGGCTGATTTCCTTAGTTTAGCAGACATAGCTGCTTGGGGCACGCGAGACCAATTCAAGGGCCGAGCCCATTCCGGGGCTGACTGGGCGCGACTGGTGGAACAATGTTTGGGGTGACTGATAGAGGGATGATATACCAACGGTTTTTGGTTCCTGCTCATTTTGACCTTTGTCCAGCTTGTGCATTTTGCCGCCAAGGAAGTGAGGGATCGTCGCGGGACAAGAGGAGACGGTGTTTTCATTGCTGCCATTACCACCAGGGTTTTCCAAGAAATGGAACCCAAAAAGGCATTTTTCCAACGAAAATAAACACATGAAAGGAGTAGGTACATGTTGTAGGGAGATAACGTGTTTTGCGGCAAACAGATTTTTGCCGTTTTTTTTTTGAGATTTCCAGGTGATAGATTCAGTTTTTTCCCATGCTCCATTAGTGGAAAATACAAGCCAACATTTCGCATGTGCAAAATCAATAGGAAATCAATAGGAATCATAGGAGCCTTTGTCAAAGTGCCAGTAACTACTTTTTTTTCAATCACGATAACCTCATGCCGTCTTGAATGCGGGAGGGTTTGCTACGGGTAGCCTGAAGCAAGCAGCATGAAAACCTGAGTCCGGATCCACAGCCGCAGCAGGAATATCCACAAACATTTACAGGTCTTCCGCGCAGGCCTTGGCGCTGCCAAAAGGGTCGGTTGCAAGTGCCTGCATGGCGGCGATTATTAATTCTATTTCTTTGTGGTTTCAGTATTTCAGTGAGTGTGTGAGGCATATTGAAGAATTCAACTAAATGGGTGGTGCATGTGCACAACTGGTTGAGGCTGGTCTAGAAGCTACTGTATTACTTTAATTTCGTTGTCTCAGGCTACCCCTGCACCAATTTAATTAGGCCCCAATGCACCTGGTCGGCCGAACCGCACCGCCGCATGCTTATCACAATGATCAAATTGCATTCCCACTGACACGGGGCAACTTTGCTGCCCTTAAGCTGCGAGCTATTTCATTTTCTTTTTCCCCACCAGATCATCGCCGGCTTGCTCGCCAGCTGCACCTCTTTGGCAGAGAGAAATGCCAGACAAAACCCCAGATAGAATGTCAGATAAGAACGTCGGAATTGTATAATGTCAGATAGAATGCCAGAGAAGTGCCGGATAAAATGCCAGAAAGAATGCCAGAGAAAGTGCAAGAGAAAATGCCAGATAGAATTTCAGATAGACTGTCACATGAAATGTCGGAATATATGTCATATAGAATGGCAGCATATTTGTCACTTTTTTTTTGGTCACATCAATTGCCAGTAAGCGGGGATCACTCGAAGAACAGTTCTGAAATTCATTTGGTTGTCTCTCTTCCTCTCTCTGCCATCTCCTTATTCATGTGGCCTGGGGCCGCGCTGCGCACCAAACTCCGCTGTCCTTTGTCATATTTCAGACATGTGTCCCTGGGTACTGCACTGTATGTCAGGCATATTTTGCACATGTCATTGACCATGCCCTGCAGGAAAAGAGCCGGCTTAGTGGCATGGATGTCAATATATACATACGTCGGTACGAATGTCGGACAACTGGCAGCACTGATGCCCTGCTTTGTGTCAGCACATATGCCACAGAGAAAAGATCTTATAGTCAATCTACCAGACATGCAAGGAGAGACATGTCTGTCAGTTCATATGCCAGACACTTGTCAGTGAACATAGTTTAGTCAGCCTGTAGGTATCAGTGTCATGGATTTTGTAGCTGCAAACTGATCATATTATGTTTTAAGATTTAAGATGTTGAAAGTGTCAACACACACGCCAGAACACATGTCACTAAATGTACGGGTCAATGTGTCAGAGGTTTGTCAACATGCTTGATGGTCAGTACCCATGTAAGTTGCATATGCCAGCCAGGCAAAGGTCAATTTGAAAGTCAGCGTGCAGACAGCAAGACCGTCTAACACCAGAGCATGTGTAAGTTTATATCTGGACATGTTTCATTTTTTGCTAGCACATTCCAAGACAAATGTGAATATTGTTCTTCGTCCCTGAAGAGGTCAGTGTATTGTGTGCCAGTCAAAAGCCAGCACGCATGCCAGTACGTCAGTGCATTTTGTGATACTTTAACAACATGATGCAAACAAATGTCAATACACGTGTCTGCGCGCATGTAGGTACAGATGCCTGTTAATACTCTCTTGTACATGTTTTCATGCTGGTACACTGCAAACATTGCGAATCAGTACCCTGAAGGCGAGTTTTGTGGCCCAGTAAAGCCCCCAAACAGTCATTGTTATCCACCATTAGGCTAGGGTAATTTAGTCCATAACTATTCTTGAGTTCCTTTTTCACTTTAGTGACTTCCTTGATGGGTGAATACCTGCTATCTACAAAAGTTTATCAACACTTATCAACAAACCAACAATCACCGTTTGGTTTATTCGAATCTCTTTTACATCCCCCTCCCCCTCCACCTGCCCTCCATGGCTTTGAAGGTGGTAGGTCGGGTATGGTCGGGTGGTCTCTCCCTGTTTGGCCAAGTGCCTGGGGTGAAGCCAGCAAGGCTTGGACCATTCAATGTCTCTCCGAGCCGCATCTCTCGAGGGGCGCGCATCCCGGGATTTGTGATGTCTTCGTGGCCGCGGCGTCCAAGCAACCGATCTGGGGCAGTTTAATGGAAATTCGTGGCAGAGCGTTGATGACAGCTATTGGGGGACCATTCTTGGCAAAGTTGAAGATCAAGCGCAAAAACACCCAAAAAATACCGCGGAGGCGGAAACCGCAACTTTCGTCACCTACAGGGTGAAATCAAAAAAATGACCTAAAATATATACCAATCATGGCCAATGGCTAGTGCAGAGATGGAGACCTGCAACAGTATCATGGTTTTCATGCTGTGCCTCAACCCAGGTTGGTTGCTTACATATAAATACACTCGGGTTTCTTGTCACTGCCCCAGCCGGTCGGACTTTGAGACTAGACAGCGTTTTTTTTTCCAGAAGGTTTTGGCCATCAGCTGATTCCTCAAACCTATATTGTTGTTAGCTTCAGCATATTTCAACCATATTCTGTTTCTTTCACTCCCTACCCTTGGATCCTTGTAACCCACCATGTCTCTTGAGCAGCGATGTCCGGCCGGCAGACACCCCCGCAGGTTTCACAGCCGGTTTAGACCAGGTGTTTCGATTTGCAAACTTACTAGTGCAGCCGCAGCGCTGATGGACTCAATGCGAGGGGTTCTGAATATCCAGCAAGGATGATGGGAGGAGATTGGGCTGATTTTGCAATTGGATTTGGACTGCCGGAGAGAGAGAGAGAGAGAGAGAGACACGGAGAGTTAACATGGATTTCGTATAACATGGATTTCGTATGATTTCGTAATCCTTTCCCCGTGTTACTAAATGTACCGCAAATATTAAAAGCTAGGTAACACGGGTGCTCGAGGCCCCTGACGAAATAAACATTTTCAGCAGCAGCGTGCAATGGATTTTTGAACCCTCGCAGTTTTTTGCGAACATTGACAAATTGAAAATGGCCACGAAATGCCATGAGGACGGCGTCCAAAACACACTTTTCTTTTACTTGTATTTGCAGGGGATTGTGCGCCCCATCATCTCCAAAACTTTTTTCCTGACGACAATTTCCTTCATATTCCATTTTTCAGTTCCATGGCCAAAAGCTTATAATTCAATCCCCCTAATACTAAACGCCCCCCCCTATTAATAAACACCTCAGGTAGTTTTCAGTATTAGGGTGGTATTTATTATTAGGGAACCCTATTAATAAAATTAAACCCATAATAATAAAAACTCAAAACTATTTTTTCCGATTTCAAAATCAATTAAATATCTTTATATAACGCGATGAAAATATTGCCAAAAATTGGACTTCGAAGCGGACCCTATTAATAAAATTAAACCCTTAATAATTAATAATAAAAACTAGTTTGTTCGATTTCAAAATCAATTAAAGCTCCTTATATAACACAATTGAAATATTGCCAAAAATTGGATTTCAAAGTGGACCCTACTAATTAATAATAAAAACTAGCTTGTTCGATTTCAAAATCAATTAAATTTCCTTATATAACGCAACTAAAATATTGCCAAAAATTGGACTTCGAAGCGGACCCTATTAATAAATTAAAACCTTAATAATAAAAACTACGCGCGAACACCCGGATTCGCCCACACCCCTTCTATGCTGTACACTTGGGGATATCAAACGTTAGACTTTACATTCAATTGGGAAGATCAACATAGGGAATATAAATTTCCCACCCCCGTTAAATTTTACATTCATTGAAGATCTTCAATAAGGGTTTTATTCTCCCACCCCCGTTAAACTTCTACATTCATTGAAGATCTTCAATAAGGGTTTTATTCTCCCACCCCCGTTAAACTTCTACATTCATTGAAGATCTTCAATAAGGGTTTGCTGCTGCTGCTGATGATGATGATGATGTGTAAGAGACTCGCGCAGGTCCCTATGCTGTGCGTGCCGATATACAACATGAAGTTAGCCATGATGCAAAAAACTCTCATTTTTACCACGTTTTCAGCACATACGAAGATGGCCGCCGACAAGCGCGGGCAAATCGAGGTGTTTGCCCGAAAAACTAGTTTGTTCGATTTCAAAAACAATTAAATTTCCTTATATAACGCAATTAACATATTGCCAAAAATTGGACTTCGAAGCGGACCCTATTAATAAATTAAAACCTTAATAATAAAAAACTAAAATAAAATCGGACGGACCCTAATAATAAACACCCCGGGGCTAACTAATTTTTATTATTAGGGGGCAAAACCCACAAATGGTAGCTTTATTTTTAAATTGTTTTCTAAAGGGGATCAATTAAAAATCAAATTGGCCAATCTGAAATTTTCCAAAATTAGAGATGGACCCTAGTTTTTGGTATTTGGGCGGGGTTTAGTAATAGGGGGAAAGGATTGCCACTTTGTGAGATGATACAATGTCTCAAACATTACCAACATATACAAATAGACGGATGAGATGTATCCCTATAATAAAGCTTTTACATGCTTTTACCATGTCCTCTTACCGCTGAAATAAGCGAACTAGGTGAAGCCACAAGAATGAAAAGCGTATCGACACTTATGTCACTTCACGTACATGAACCATCAAGAGCGTAGCAGCAAAGGTATCAAGCCATGTGCCACGAAGAGCGCACAGCGTAGCAACACGTATGTCACTTCATGCACATGAAATATGAAGAGCGTAGCAGCACAAGTATCAACTCATGTACCACGAAGAGTGCACAGCGTAGCAACACATATGTCACTTTATCACTCCATGTACATGAACCGCCAAGAGCGTACTACCAGGACCAAGAACGTTTTCACAGCCCCCCCACCCGCCGAACCCCCCAAGCCATGACAAGCGTAGGAACAAGTCTGCCACTTGTTCATCAAGAGCCTGCTATCAAGAACGTTATCACAGCCCTCCCCACCCCCCACCCACCCGAACCCCCCAAAAAAAAACTCCCCAAGCCATGAACAAAGAGGACCTGGTCCAACATCTTTATGTCAAAAGTCTAACAGTAAACTCATCTTCATGTTACACAACATCAAAATAGAAGCATGCACTAAAGATAAAAATGTACACATTATTAGGGGGCCCGAGGCCCCGTGTAACCAAAAACTAGGGGTCCGTTTTCAGTTTTGAAGAATTTCAAGTTGGCCAATCTGTTTTTTGTTGATACCCTTTGGAAAACACATTAAGAATGGAAGGTCCCATTTGAGGATTTCACCCCCTAATAATCGAAGGAAGTTTAGAAGTCAAACTTCCGACAATATGGACAGATGGAAAAGCAGAGATGGTAAGAGTCAGAGAAGAGAAGAGAAGAGAAGAAGAGAGAAGAAGAGAGAAGATCAGAGAAGAGAAAGAGTCAGAAGAAAGAAGATGCAGGTGCGCGACAAGGTAGAAAAGTCGCGATGCACTGTGTTTTTCTAATGGTTTGTGGCTCCAGAGGGTCGAAAAGTAGGATCGCCAAAGCGGCTGGTGCGGAGCCATTTGGCCGGATGAGAGATGAAAAATTGCACGCCGTTGTGGTGCGAAGCACATTTCCAAGTGAAAATGTACAAAACACCTCACGTTCGGAGCACTTTTGGAAGTTGAGATGTTGAAAAAGTGCACGCGGTTGTAGCGCGAAGCACATTTCGAAGTTAAAATGTACAAAGCGCACCATGCTCGGACCACTTTTGTAAGTTGAGATGTTGAAAAAGTGCACGCTGTTGTGGCGCGAATCACATTTCGAAGTCAAAATGCGCAAAGCACCTCAGCTTCGGAGCACGTTTAGGAATTGAGCTGTCCAAAAAGTGTACGCTTGTTTCGCGTGGCAAGGGATTCTGCACCCTGCCAAAAGTGAGCAAAACGTGAGGGTTTTGTCGTGGGACATTTGAAGAGGATCTGGCAAGGTGCATTTTCCGTGGCAGGGGCAGTACAAGAGATACAGATCTTCAGTTTTGGGAAGATGATTTTGCGTGACAGTTGCAGCACTTCGTATGACCTGGCATCACTTTTTCGTGGCAGGCTCAGCACTTTAGACAGATGGGGTGGAAAAATTGCAAAACACATTGGTACGAGGCCGTCAGCTCTGCACTCAACTTTAATTCCATGTTGGAAGGAAGTCTCGCGAAATTGCTTCGTTTTTGATGTTGTCAACTTGACAAATTGAGGAAGTCTCCCAAAATAGCTTCGTTCTTGACGTTGTCAAGTTCAAAAGTTGAGGAAGTCTCGCAGAATTGCTGCGTTTTTGATGTTCTTAAGTTCAAAAATTGAGGAAGTCTCGCAGAATAGCTTCGTTTTCAAATTCGCAGATAGATAGATAGATAGATAGATAGACAGGTAGATAGACAGATAGATAATGATAGATAGATATAAATAGGTAGACAGATAGATAGACAGAAAGACAAATAGATCAACAGATGTATAGACAGACAGATAGATAGACAACTGCACCTGCACTACACCACACTACAAGTTGTAGCAACTACCACTACAACTACAACGACACTACCACTACAACTACATTTCAACTACACTTCAACTACAAGAACTACAGCTACAACCGCAACCACAACTTCAACTACACTTCAACTACAACTACAACCTCAACTACAATTACTACAACTACAAGTACAAGTGCCACTACAACTGCAACTGCAACTGCAGCGTCAACCGCTACAAGTACAACCACACTACAACTGCAACTGCAACTACAGCTGCAACTACAACTACAACTTCAGCTACACTACAACGACACTTCAACTACAACTTCATCTTCAACTACACTACAGCAACAGCAATTACTACGACGCTACACTACAACTAGAACTACCACTACAACTAGAACTACAACTACACTACAACTACAACTACGCCACAACTACAGCCACAACTACAACTACAACTCCAACAACTATTGCAACTACTACAATTACGACAATTAAGACCGATACAAGTTCAATTACACTTTTAACTACACTACAACTACAGCCACAACTACAACAACAACTACAACATTACAACTACAACTACTGCACTACACCACACTACATCCAGGAGTTGTGAGTGAGGTGACCACTGCAACCATTGCAACCACTCCAAAAAGCACAACTCCAACCACCTCTCGGTCCATCAGTGGATTCGCTATGCCATCCATGCATCGCAACA